CTCTCGAATGGCAAGAGCCTTTTCATGATGTGAGAGCGCTTTTGCATGTTCAGACATGTTGTTATACACTAAAGCGATGTTGTTGTAAAGTTCAGCTAAGGCAATATCGTTCGCCGCCAGTGTTTTCTGTCGAATTTCGAGCGCTTTTTCGAACGAAGCTAATGCTTTCGGATAATTAGCGGTATTGTAAGCCACCATACCGATATCCATGTACGACACAGCTAGATCCGGATGATTTGGAGAGAGAACTTTTTGATTAATTGCAAGTTCTTTTTCGAAAAAAGCAAGTGCTGATGAATATTCGTTCATGTCGACATACAATAAACCGATATTGACATAGGATTTCGCCAGATCTATATGGTCCGGAGGTAGCAACTGCTCACGAATCTTCAAAGCTTCCTTATGCGATGAAAGTGCTTTGATATTGTTGTCAATTTTCGAATACGCCATTGCAATGTTGTAGTGAATATAGGCTAAATCGAGCGGATCAGTCGTTGGTGCTTTCTGACAGATAGCTAATGATTTTTCATAGAAACTGATTGCTTCTCGATACTTTTCTTGTTTATCTTCGATCAAGCCCAATTGATAATAAATGATCGCTTTTTCACTCATATCTTTCGTGTTATTGAGCAGAAATTCGTACAGTTGTTCCGCTTTATCGAAATAATTCATGTTAACTAAAACTGCACCTAGTCGACACCATCCTTCCTTCTCTGGGCAACTCTCTTGTCGAATATGATTCATCACTGCCGTGAGATCTTTGTCTTTATCGGTGACAAGACTTAAATGTACTTCTTGAAGTCGATTATTTGCAGTTAGCCGTTTGATATCATTAATTCGGAAGATCGAAGGCATTGAAAATAAGAATTCACCTTCCGTTTGAGAGTAACTGACATCGTGGATCGCAGCTAATGGAACACTCGATTGAGAAGGATCAACATTTATCACAAACATGATGCCGACTAGATCACCTTTGGTTGACAGATCTTGAGCAAAACTAAGGGAAGCCTTGGAATTTTTGTTAACCAATAGGAAATTATTGAACGAGATCAATCCATTGCGACATTTTTTCAATTGCTCAAAATCTGCCTTGCTAAAACCTTGACCATAGTAGACTGTGAGCGTTCCAGAGGGTGTCGATTCACTTTTGTATTGTTTCTGATACAATTGTTCGATTTGTCGATGCAAATCTGCGATGAAAAAGCCTATTCGCGTGATAATTTCTCCATTCATCAATCGTAATGTTCGATTAAGCATAGGTTTCAGAAAACAATCCTTGGTATACCACCATATCGATGTTTGCTTGTGGTATTTGCTTTCGAATTCTTTCACATCGTTCAATTCTTCGTCGTTACCTGCGAACAACTCTCGACAATAGTCCGTAAATTCTTTGACTTGCTTCTCTTCGAATTCGTTGGTTAAGATGACTTCCTTGAGCAGATGAGTATACATGAACGAGAGATCCAATTGATCGAGATTCTTTGCTGAAGCGATAAAACTAACAGGCATACCGTTTTGTTCGAAATGTTGAACTGCTTGTTTGAGTGCGTCAGTCAAGGATGCGATGTCGGTGTAGATGCCTTTGATTTTCGACCAAACCTTCGTGACTGACTCGTCACGTTGTTTATTGTCCGAAAAGATGAAAATTGTTTCTACCTGAGGTACATCATGAATACGAGAAACGAGCTGTTGGCCCAATGATCCAACAATGGTCACACAAGCTTTTGTATCGTTAATAGTTTGTAGAAATTCAATGCATGAATCGCATTCTGTAAACGTGAAGATGTTGTGAACCGAGCGCTGTAGGTCAGCGATATTTCGTTGCCAGTCTTTGTTGTTGTCGTTCAAACAGATCAGAAAGCCACTTCGGACCTTCTGGAGATTAACGCGACGTCGATCAAGAACATGTTCTGCAGTTGTAGATGATTGTCTAGTGCTGTCAACATTCACTGATTTCCCGGCGCCCATTGAGTTTTTCTTGATTGTATTCTATCGTTTTGAAATATGAACTTGAATCATCAATGGTTGCTTATTATATAGGATTTCATTTTTATTTGAAGTATTCCGATGTGTGCGTATGATTACGTCAATACATTTTTTTTTCTTCTACTGTGCGTTGGAGGTCGTTATGAAAACAAGCGAAAAAAAAACTATGAATTTTGTATTGTTTGGTTGTACAAAATGAAAATATTTCTTGAATAAATTTTTCTCGTTCTACAAGCAGCCACATTGTAATGTGGGGGGGGGGGGGGGTTGTAACAATTTCCAAAGTTTTTATAATGTAAAACAAAA